CTTCTCATCTTCGTATCCTTCACTTCCATGTTACATTCATTGCGATTCTAATTGATCTTGTGATGCTTGGTTCTGATTGCTGCCAAAATTAGCTCTAGTTTATTTTGAATGTTCTGATTGCTTGGTTATGATCTTGTGATATTTAATTGTGTTTATATGGTTTATTTTTTAATTGTCTTCTTCAATGCTGCCAAATTAAGGGGAAAAGACGTTGGTTCTGATTGCTTTGTTCTTTAAAGATAAGTCAAGATTATACTCAAATTAAGGGGCACAAGACAAAAGTGATAAAACAATATATATCAATTATTGGTCTTCAAACTTGGTCCGAGAGGTAAAATGTTAGAGCTAGATAGGTTGAAGGGATAAAACAATATATATCAATTACTGGTATGTCAACACCACCTACCAACATCCCATTAATTCCAAACCCCCAGGAACCACTCCAATCATTTTTCACAATTTTTCATTAAATTAATTACGTGTTACTCGCATGTTTATAAATGATAATTTTCATTGGAAAAGTTTTAGTTGGATGTATGCACTTATGGTTTGGTGCGAGCTTGAAAGGTGATAGTTTGACTATGTTATTTATAAAGGAGGCTTGCGCTAATGCAGTGTGATAGGTTTTATTATGTTTTATCTTCAACTTGAAAAAAAAAATGCTCATTTGGCTATAATTTGCATGAGAAACTTATATTTCCAACTTCAGACAATTGAATTTTGTCTTTACCCAAGAAATCAATCGTTTAAACCTTAGTTTTCCATGAGGTATTGTTTTGATGCTAAAATTTGTCTAAGATCAAAGGAGTAGGCATTTATGCTTGATTTTGAAGTTAAAAGAAATATTCTTGCTCTCATAAATTCAAGGATTAAGTTTTGTGTTACAAAATCGATTGTATAACTATGCTTTTCCACCGGACAGACTAAGAATTTATAAATGAATTGTGTGCAATGTTTTGAATGCAAAAGTAACTTTATATGATTTTGTTTTGGGACAATGACATAGACATTCCAAAAGGACCATTAATTTAACTTAGATCCCAAGTCAAATTTTTAGGAATTTGCAAATTCGATTTTTAATTTTGCAACTTCTTGATGATGAATTTACAACTTACGTTCCAAATTTTAATAGGAAAAATAAATTTTTTTATTCTTCAATCATGTTAAGATTTAGAAAATAACTTATAAATTCATTATAATGAAATTATAAAATTGAGAGCTGAACTCACAAATTCTTAAAAATTAGCACTTGAGACCTAAATTAAATTAAAATGACCTCTTTGTCATTCTCCCTTTTGTTTTAGATTGATTATTTTCACGATGTTAGCATGCTTTTATCCTACATAAATCCTATTAGGATGGTTTATTTTCTATGAATTAAATTATTGTGATTACATAACTAGTTTATTTTTAGTACGTTGGTAGAGGCTTAAGGCCATTAGGCATTGCATGTGACTTTATTTTGTTTAAATAATATTATTTTCTCCTTATATTTTCAATTGTAAATTTATTAGACAGTCTAACTTTTCAGGGAAGATTTTGTGATTTTTTTTAACTTATTATTTAGCTCCTTGTTCTATATGAAAATGCCAAAGAATATAGAGTTGGCTTTAGGTAAGAAGGAAGCCAACTCTAAAAAATGTTATTCTCCCGAAAAATGGGAAAATTTCCATGTTTGGACCTATTTTCAATATAGAACTTGTTGTTTGGCCTTATTCTACTGAACTCTATCGTGTTTTAGAAAGTCAAATCAAACATGAATTATAGTTCAGTAGATGTCATATGAATGAGTGCAAAGTATATTAATTGGGTTAAGGGGTTTTTGGAATTCACTCAAAGCAACATCGAAGATGATAGTGGGAGGTTTTTTGTCCTTGTAGGAACTATTTGAATGAGAGACAACTAAGTGCAAATGTGATATATGAAACTTAATTTGTGAGAGGTTACTCAAAAGTTATAAAGTATAGATATGGCATGGTAAAAGATTGAACATGCTAATGTCAAATACATCTCAATCATGAGATGTCGATGTTGATGATGATGATAATGATAAGATGGTTGATCAATTTGAGGATATGATCCGTGATGTGGGTAAAGAGGCCTTTGAGTAATCCTCGGTGTATAATAATATGTGTAGTGATACAAAGACACCTTTGTACCCGGGGTATAAGGAATAAAGTCTGCTGAAAGCAATGTTAGAATTGGTGAACTTGAAAGCTAGATTGGGATGGAGCAACAAGAGTTTCATTGAAATGTTTGGGTTGTTGAAATTATTTTTAATGAAAGAAAATGTGTTGCTGGTTCATTATTATAAGACGAAGAAAATTCTATGCCCATTGGGCATGGAGTTTAATAAAATACATATATTCCCAAATGACTTCAGACTATACAAGAAAGAGCATAAAGAAGAGAAGAAGTGTCCAATATGTGAGATGCAAGGTACAGAGAGAATAAAGCTCCTGTATAGGTGCTATGATATCTTCCAATTATAATGAGGTTTAAGTGGTTATTTGCTAATGAAAAATATGCAAAAAAAATATGATATAGCATGCAAATGAGAGGATTTCTGATGAAAAGCTCCAACATCTGACTGATTCAAAACAATGTAAGAAAATTGACACATCATTTCTCAAGCTCAGCAATGATCTAAGGAACCTCAAGCTTGAATTTAGTATGGATGACACGAATCCTTATGGTGGCCTTAGTAGTGTACATATTTCATGGCTTGTTCTATTGGTGATTTATAGCTTATCTCTCTTGTTGTGCATGCAACACAAGTATATCATCTTGTCTATGTTTATTTTGGGACAAAAATAATTAGGGAATGACATTGATGTTTACCTAAAACCATTGATCAAAGACTTGAAAAAGCTGTGGGAGGTAGGTGTAGATGTGTTCAATATGAATCAAAAAGAGGTATTCAAGCTGTGCATAATGATCTTTTGCACTATAAATGACTTCCTTGCATATGAAAACTTGCCCGATTACAGTGTTAAGGGGCATAAAGCATGTCCGATTTGTTAAGCAGGCACATACTACCTTCAACTTCATCATGGAAAGAAGACAATATATCTTGGCCATAAGAGATTTCTTGAAGAGGGTCACTATTAATGTAGAATGAGGAAAGCTTTCTATAGTGGCCAAGAGTATGGAACTGCCCTAAAGCCATTAATAGAAGAGCAAGTTTATCAATTGGTGAAACACATTAATGTTATCTTTAGTAAAACTATAAAAAGTAGTGAAAAAAAATTGGAAAAAGAGGTCTATCTTCCTTATTGGTGCTACAGTGATATGAGATATTGTATTGATGTCATGCATATGGAGAAAAACATGTGTGATAATATTGTTGGAACACTTCTCAACATACCAAGCAAGTCCAAGGATGATGTAAAAGCAAAATTGGATTTGATGGACATGAAAATTAAAGAGAACTTGCATCTAAGGCCAAATGGTAAGAGGATTTATTGTTCCCCAACTGAACATACTTTGTGCAAGGACGAGAAAAGAAGCTTTTGAATGCTTATACAACATGAAATGCCCTCAAGGTATTTTTCAAATTTTAAGAAGCTTGTATCAATAAAAGATTTAAAATTAGTAGGCCTCAAATCTCATGATTGTCATGCCTTAATGCAACAAATACTATCGGTGGCTATTTAAGGCTTCTGGAAAGATGATTTGAGAGACATTATAACCAAGATTTGCTTTTTCTTCAATACTATACGCCATAAAGTCCATAAGACCGAAGAATTGGATGAACTAGAAATGAAACATATCTTATCTTGTGCTAACTTAGAAGGCTCTTTCTTCCATCATTTTTTTGACATCGTGATACATTATATTATTCATCTAGTGAGGAAGATAAAGTTGTGTAACCCTATTCATTTACGATGGATATATCCAATTAAAAGAATAATCAAAGTCCTAAAAGAGTATGTGAAAAGCCATGCCTTCCTAAAGCATCCAGTGTTCAAAAATATGTCATTGAACAAGCAATGGAATTTTTTTAAGATTATTTGAATCACGTACGACTTGTTGTATTAAGACAACATCATGTCAAAGATCGTAGACATGGCATTTCTGTGAAGACTGTGAACCCTCATGAATTACAACAAGTACACATGCGTTTAGAGAACTTGTGAGGGATCAAAACAATTGAAATAGGATGACTGAGCAAAGATTGATTAGGGAATATAATAGTACTTTTGCAAAGTGGTTCAAACAAAAAGTTGAGAAAGAAGATTGTGTTTTTTATATTGTTAAAGGGTTGCCACAAGGTCCTAAATGTGATGTTATATGCTAGACTGTATTTGATATTAATGAGTGTTTGTTCTACATGAAGTCTCTAGTCAACAAGAGTAATGTGCAAAACATTGGTGTCACACTGATGGCGGAAAGATCTAAATCCTTTGTTTGCATTCATGTTTTATTACATAGTTATTGAAGAGATCTAGGAGGTTAACTATCTTAAATTTAGAATCTCCATTTTCAAATGCAAGTAGGTTGATGTTAAAAATGGTTTTCATTAAGAGAGGTTGGAATTTACATTGTTCAATATGAATACTTTATGTTTTGGTGAACCTTTTATTATGGAAAACTAAGCAAAATAGATGTTTTATGTCATAGATCCAAGAAATAAAAGGTGGTCAATGGCTCTCGAAGGAAAAAAGGAAGATTAATATCAATGAGAAACATTGTTCAAATTTTGATATTTTCAAAACTCCTTCTTTCTCAATAGGCTTGGTTGTACTGTATGTAAAAGATGAAATGAATGATAAACAAGGCACAAGAGATGATCACCATGAAGAGATATGAGAGTATCACTATTTAGAATTATTTGAAAAATTATTTATTTATTTATCATTGTGTTTGATTATTTAATTTGTTATTTCTTGTATCATTCATTTTTTTATAAAGTTGAAAAAAGTGCTACATGCTGTAGAGGACGGATGAAAATGAAAAAGGGCATAGGGTTCACCCAGGATGAACCCCAGCACAAACAATGAAAGAAGAATTTGAACTGCAGAAACAAAAAGAAGAGAAGAACTAGGAGCAGACACTGCTACAAATAGGGCTCCTTTCAGTTTGCTTCCATAAAAGTTAAGGCAAAAATAGTAACCTGAGGTTCATAATCACAATAATTCACAGCACACATAATCAATTAATCAATTTGTCAATGCCACCCCATGGGAGCATTCTCAGAACCTTCATGAGCATCCTGTAGTAGGATTTTGGAAATCTGAGCAACACAAGAAAAGATGGAGATGCAGGAAAATGGAGAAGACGCACAAGGAAGATGAACTATTTCTATTCTCCATCTATAAAAAAATTAGTATAATTTCGTCTTCTATTGATTTATTATATGATGTTGCGCTTACATGTATATAAAATTTGGATTTAAATCATTTGAAATTAAAATTGGTAATTTTTTGAAAGCTTTTTTTTTTGTTAATTTTCGCTCATTTTATTATTTTTTTTATAAAAATACAAATCTTCTCTTTCCTAAAATAGAAAACCAAACAGAAATTCACTAGTTCTATCTTTAGAGAATTTAAATTTATAAAATTTTCCTATTATGCCCTTGGCATTTAATACGTGTAATAACATGTTTTTCAGATATTTATACAAAAACGGTGTGGAAAGTGGAAACCATGCATTGTGATTAAGAAAGAAAAAGAAGTAGCCATTGGTATATCAATGGCTTAAGATTGCGCATTGATTATTGGAGAGAAGTATGAGTGATGAATGATTAAAAGATATGTTTAATACCGTATTCGACAGTGAAGAGGCTATAACCATGGCCTTTTCAAAAACAAAGCAATCATGGTCGTTCATGATAAACAATCTTGCCATAATTTTTACTCGCATGCTTTTAATAAAAGGAAAATAATAAATTTGTTTGAGAAAATATTCATTTGCTAACGTACAGAAAAACACTTAATGGCAATAATAAACTTTTTAAATTTAAATAGATACACAAAAGGATTAAAATATCATTAAGAATAACATGAATTAATTGTATATAATTATTTTCCATTGAAACGCATAAATTCAATTTTTATTACATTTCAAATTCAAATTTTAAATAGAAAAAATTATTTGTTATATTATATAATAATTCTAAGGATATTTTAATCAATAAAAAATTATTGCTCATATTTTGTAGCAAGTAGATCATATGCTATTTTTCAAGGTTAAAAAAAAAATTCAAAATACTACTCCATCCGTTCCCTTTTACAAGACATCTTTTAGTAAATTACAAATATTAATAAGGTCAATTAAATACAGTTTGAAATCTTAATTATTATTTTTTATACAATTCTAAAAACACTCTTCATTAATAAGGGAGAAAGAGAAAGTAATATATTTAAGGAGTAAAATAATTATAGTAATATTGATATAACTATCATAAACGAAGCTTTTTTTCTTTTTTTTTCAAGACGTCCTATACTTTAGAAGTTAGAACATAAAGTCACTTCCTAAAATGTTTTATAAAATGCAGGGAGGGAGCATTTTCTTTTTTTTTTTTTTAATAATTGTGAATAACAAGGAAATGAATGGACTTTCAGAATGTAAAAATGAAACCGAAGATAACTTACCAAGCAGCAAGTCATCACAACTGCAAGAACAAGCCCACGCTATAATTCACACCAAAATATCTGCACGTTATCATGTACTCCATCCGATCCAAAATATAAGTATTTTTTTCAACTAATCTTAATTCAAAATATAAACAATCTAGTACATGTAAGAAAAGTCCCATTTTACTCCTTGTATTTATTAACATAAATCTTTGTGTGATTATATCTCTCACTCATCATAGAATATATCGGTGATTGAGACTAGGAGTAAAAGAAAAAATATATATATATATTTTTATGGGAATGAAGACTTTATTAATATGCAATTTTAAAAAAAAAACTACTTATATTTTGTACCAGGGGAGTAGCCAAGTGAAATGTACCTAAAATTTCGTTTGGTAGCATTAACTGCAATAACACAAGAACATAATGGAAGTTGAGCATGTAGAGATTCAGGACAAGGAAAAACAAGAGAAAGAGGAAAAGAATACTTGAGATGTGTTAGCTTTCATTGCAAGAATTTTCTATTTTTCATTCAATTACATAAATGTGCATATAATCCATAACTACAATGTCATTGTAAATGTCATTGTGCACATATTATCCTACAAGACTAATGACTCAGTTCAATACCTTTATGGTTGATAAATTCAAACTATGTACAGCAGAGGGAACTCATTCAATCATTTTCATTCCCTCTTACTTATGCAGCGTCTGAAGTTCTGTATCTATGATCATACAGCAAGAATGAAGATGAATGGGGATTTTGGATATCCATTACCTATAATACAATAAATACAAGTACAACAGATCAATATGCAAGCAACATAGATTCCTCCGTCAACGTGTCTGGGACTAAATACTGTAAGTAACCAATATGTGTTTACCTGTCTCATTTGATTAGTGCTGCGGATGGATTGCTGGTATGTGCTTTGGATTACAGGCTCCTGAATAAGAATTATTTGACAAGTCATACACAGCAGCAAATTCGGAATATAATCAGAAAAGGTTCGGCCAGACAAACAAACACCTGAAGTAGTTGAGATTGGCCAGGAGAATCCCGTTGGTTAGAAAAGAAGTTCTGTGGATGGTACGTGTTATCGTTAGATTGGGAGTCCAGCGCAAGATTGGACTGTTCATACATGCACTGAACCACATGGTTGGCTTCAAAATTATACAGTCCCTGTATCAGAAATTAAAGAATCAATAGATCACTTTGTTCTTTCACTAGCATTGTGCGTTTAAGCAAATGAATCCTAGAGAGTAGTAAAATGATCACAAGATTCACGAAGTTGCTTTGTGATCTGTATTACTGATATATTATAAAGTATGACCTGCATAATGGGATTTGGTGTTGTAGATTGAGAAGAAACGTATGCAGAAGAAGGACTTGAAATGCAGGCAACAGTATCAGGCGGAGAGACTTCCACATCTAGAACCCTTTCAGTGTCTAATCCATCGCAATGCATAGTTGTTTGATGGCCCCTAACAGGCGTAGAACTCCCTTCTTTTTCTTCATCCATTCTGTTACTTTCATTTTGATCTTCCATTGCTTGTCCATTGAGAAAGATGTCTGCAGGCTCATTCTCAGAAGCATTTACATCAACGCTACTGGAGGTGATAATATGAGTTTCTACACCTTTCAATGTCAAGATTTTCTCAACTCCTTCCATTATCTCATCAAGTTTCCTCTGAGCGAATCGATAAGCTTCATCAGATTCAGAGGCCCTTGCTGAAAACTTGAGCAGTCTGTGGCACAAATCCTTGTAACGGCTCGCTACAATCATCTTAGGATCATTTTGCATGTCAAAAATCTCCTTGACAGTTCCGAACCTTGCCTCTTTTGTCCATCTTTTCAAGATGTACCCAGATGAAACCACTTTTATGTTCCTATGGTCAAGCACTTTTAGTGCATGGCCGCACAAAAATCCAACATGCTCAAACTGCATGCAACTGCACACAACTGTATCATCCAAAGAATTGAATGTGACATTATATTGTCTAATATGTCCAAACGTATTTGCTTTATACTCAAGCAGTGATCCATTCCTACTGAATTGGTTAACAACAACATTTAAAGACTTCTCATATCCTTGCTGAAATACTTCAAATGCCCTTGGAGTATATACATCACTTCCATGCTTTAACAAAACAACATTACCCATTAGTCTTGGCAAACATCTTCTCATCTCATCATTAGCTTCAATTTCTTCATAACGTAGTTCATCCACTACCCTTTCAAAATGCTTCAAGAATTGAATGACATCAAGGTCAGAATTTAAATAACCTCTAAATTTATGAGACAAAATCTCACCTAAATGAAAGCCTTTTGTATCCAAAAAAAATGTATTTCGACCAAAGACAACTGCCCATTTCTCTCTTTCTCTGTACATCCATCTCAACCATTCATTTTTCTGGAGATCATACTTCTCCAACATAGCCTCCCAAGCATGAGTAAAGTCCTCCTCATATTTGTGGTCATAAATACAGCATCGAAGATCATTGGCAAAAGAATTAGCATCCTTAACGACTTGACTCAGGTGTCTTAAAGTGTTTTCATACATGTGCCATACACAAGTAAGATGGTTTGTTTCAGGCAAAACTGTATTGACGGCTTCAATAATAATAGCTTCTTGTTCTGTGAGAATAGCCTTAGGCTTTTTCCCAGACATAGCATTAATGAAGGTACGAAATAGCCAATTAAATGATTCAGTAGTATCATCATAGAGAAGTGCAGCTGCAAAGATCACCACCTGCTTGTGATGATTAACACCTATAAATTGCACAAACGGTCGAAGTTCTCTGTTTGTTCTGCAAGTTGTGTCCAAACAAATAACATCACCAAAATAATCATAATCCAGTACCATACTGTCATCAGACCAAAATATATTGCTTACCTTATCATCAACATCTAATTGTATGGAATAAAAAAATGTGGGATTTTCAAAATGCTGTCTTTGAAAGTAACCCAATAAATGACCTGCTTCTCCTTCATTCATATCTCTATCCCTCTCTGACTGAAGATGATTGTCATAATCCATAGAAATTTGATCAAGAGACACACGAGCTGCAAATTTTCTATTCATCATTTCAAATGCTGACTTTGACTTTGGTCCCACAGTATTTTTCAGGTCAGCTTCTACATCTTGAGCAGCATTTTGTTCATTTTGCAACATCAACGTGTGAGCATTACAAGGATTTATACTATCATGATTGTGCTGTTCTTCAAAATGGGTAACTCGGTACTTACCATCTGGTTGGCGAGTGATGATCATATGAGCCAAGCAACCAGTCCTTGTTTCTTTCCTATGTTTCTTCACATTAATGTCTCTTTTGTCTTTCCTACGGTATCCTTCTTTGGAGCAAGTAAACTTCCTAGACACCACCTGACCATGTACTTTACTCCTATTTACCCAATCTTTTCGAACACTGAAACCCACCAACCTGGCATATTTGTTATAGAATCTGTATGCATGCTCATCAGATTCAAATTCTGTCCCAATTCCTAATACATTACTGGTACTGGTTTCACCTGTGGAAGGATGACCAGATTGAGCATCATTAATATGTATAACATTGGGGCTACAACAGTTCTGCTCCACATTCAAGTCCAAGTTATTCGATGTCTCAGGTCTGACTTCAATATTTTCTTCATGCGCACTGCCCAAGTCGCTATTATCCCCATCCATTAAAAACCTGCACTAAACTATTAACAAATGAGTGAAACTACAATAGGAACAAAAATCGTCCTCTCCCCTTGATAGAAAACCAAGCAATCTATTCAACAATAACCTGTCTCAAACCCGAAAGAGACATGCTTTCTATATACAAATTTCAATACCAAAAGAAAGTTGCTCAAATTGAACCAAGAAAATAAAGGAATAATCAGTTAATATAAGGAAATACTGTTATTACAGGCTAGTGATTTATTACCAATCCTAATCGATCCAAACTCAGCAACGATGAATTCAAAGCACAGGGAGACAGAATACCTGAGAACTGAGCCGCTGATATCCGAAATTAGGGTTTGCGGTGATAGCGATAACTAGGAATCCATGGAAGGTGCAGCGATATGACTATATGAGAATTGAGAACAGAAACAATGAGCGTGAGGATTAGGGAACGGAACCTTAGTCTCGAATTGGAAGTCAGAAATGTTGGAGAAAAATAATGCGAGAATTACATTCAGATCCCATATAAAAGAATTAATTACTAAGTCTCTCAAAAATAATTGGCTCACACTCGCATCGCCGCGTGGCTCAGAGGGTTGGTGATTCAATTTCATGTCCAATGGCAACCATTTTTTATTCTCGAGAAGGTTGAGACCGCTTCCTTATCTCCCGTTATTTTGTATTTGTGTTAAGTAATAAAAATATTCATAAAATAATTAATTATGGACACTTAATATTTTAAAGTAAAAAAAATAAAAATATTCATAATGTTATATGAATAGGTATAAAAGTAATCAGACCGTTAACTTTAATCTAACACCATTAACTTTGACTGTTAAATATTGACTGTGCATATCACCTGTCAGTCTTTGCTAACATGAACTAATAAATGGGTAAAAATATCTATAAAATCATCATCTAAAAGCAAAAATAACCATAACGTTACTAGAGTTAGTTCAAAGTGATCAATCCATCTAATCTCTTAAATGTTAACCGTTTAGTTAATACCTAAGTAAAAGTTGACTATTTTTTCACTGATATAGAAAAAAATATTTCCATATGAATATTTACAAGATGTTGATTGATAATCGTTGGAGTACCTATAATGTTACTTTAGTAGATGCAATAGTAACTAGTCAGTCAAACTCAATGCTACATAGTTTCTTTCCATCGCCAAATATCTTGACTCCTTCCTTTCTCTTTCTCCATTCATTTTTCTTATCTGCAAAACTTGAGATTTAACATAGTGAGATAGGTTGTACAAAATCAAAAATCAAGATTGAGCATATCTAGATTAAGAACATTGTCATAACCTTAAACAATTGCATTCATGATAGATTTAAAATTTTCAAATGATTTTCACCACTGCTACAAACAAACAAGTGATTTAATTTGATTTTTAATCAAAATGACATTTTCTCACATGATATTCATACAATGACCAATTAACCTTTAGAGAATTTCATCTAAAAATATTTTTTGTCTGCCTCAGTAAAAAAAATGATCAACTTTTGCTTAGGTGTCAACTAAACGGTCAACATTTAAGGGATTGAATAGATTTGTCATTTTTGCACTAATTTTGATTACGTTATAAGTATTTCTGCTCATAACCTAGGACTTTGTGGGTATTTTTGCTTCTGGCCGACAACTCTATGGGTATTTTTATTCCTTTATTAGTCCACGTCAAGAAAAAATGACACATGACATGCACAGTCAACATTTAACAGTCAAAATTAACGACGTTAGCTTAAAGTTAATAATCTGATTACTTTTACACCTATCCATATAACGTTATGGATATGTTTATCCTTTTCCTCATTTTAAGATACTGGGTGCTTGTGGCTAACCATTTTGTAAATATTTTTATCGCTTTATCCTTTGTTTTTTGTCTTAGTGGCCTAAAGGTTATACTTTGTTTCAATCTCAATCTCAATACAATTCATTTAATTTGCAAAGTGCTTGTAATTTCTTTGGGAAAAAAATTTACTTTTAATTTCAATTTTAGTGTTAAAAGTTATCTACTGTATATGACTTTAATTTTAATTTTAAAATTTAAGTTGCAAAGTTTAAGGATAAAATTAAGAAAAAATTAATTTTTTTGTCTTTCAATTTTTAACATATTTGTAACTCAATCCATTAACTATAACTCACTACAATTCAGTCCCTCAAATTTTAACTCAACTATAATTCATTTCCTTAACTTTTGACTCGTCTATAATTCAATCTCTTAACTTTTGTTAGTTCTTATATATATATATATATATATATATATATTATCTTAGATTACACATCAAAGAGCAAGAGGAGGATATTTTAGAGCATGATATGTACATTTCTTTTATCTTTCTTATTTAATAAGGATAATTTATTAAAAAATTTAAAAATAAGGATCAAATTATTAGCGAATCAAAAGTTGAGAGACTGAATTGGAGGGAGTCATAGTTGAAAGATTGAGTCACAGTGAGTTATATTTAAAGGATTGAGTTACAAATGAGTTAAATATTAAAGGACTAAAAGATTAATATTTTCTAAAATTAGTTTAAAAAAATAATCTACATGTCTTTATAAATTTTCTTAATTTTAATTAGATTCTTGCAATTTTATTTTTTTTAATTGATCTTGTATTTTTTTTAGATTTGTTAATTTTTAAATGTTAAAATTCTTATGGAATTAAGAAAATTTATATTTTATTATAATCTTATAATTAATTACATAATGTTTATATGTCAATAAAAATTTTATAATTAGATTCTGTCTTTTAAATAATTTTTTTACTTGAATAATTTTATTAAAAATTAATAAAAATGTAAAAATATATCAAATAAAATTTTAGCTGGTAGGTTATAAGAATTAACATATTTAAAAGATCAAACTATAAGTGATTGATTAAAATAAAATAAACTATAAAAATTAGAATCCTAATTAAAATTAAGAAAAATCATAAAGTCGTGCACATTAATTTTCTCAATTAATTCGTGTGTGTGTAAGATACTACTAGAATTTTAGAAATTTTATAATATCACAATTCTTTTTTTGCATAAGATATGTAGTGACTATTTTGCACAACTATATTTTTTATTCTGGAATACCTTTTATATATAAAATATTTAAGTGAATTAGGTCTTACCTAAGTTCACTAGGTCAATAAATGCTTTCAAGGTTTAGGAATGCTTACATTATATATTTACAAATTATTTATCAATAAAATTTTCATATTGGCAACAATAAATTTCCCATGCCAACGGCTAGTTTTAAGCAACCCATTTTAATGGCTACGTGTTACACCCTAACCAACTAAGCTAATTTTTATTTACTTATCTTTATATACTTTATAGCTAGATACACATTTTCTTAAGGGATGCATAATAATTTTATTATTGTATTTATTTTCTTAAAATTTCATTTATTTTAAAACATATAAAAAAATATCAAAGGATGAAACTAAAAGTTGTAAAGATAAGAGATTAACATTAGAAAAAAAAATGGAGAAATTAATCTATAGGTCCTTTAAGTTTTCATTGATTTTTTTTAGAGTTCCTATAATGCATTTTGTTTTAATAAAACTCTTATAGTTTGATTGATTGAATATACTAGTCCTTAAAATTTTAAATTATTAATGAATGATTAAATTAAAAGAAACTTTTAAAATTTATAAAAAAAATTGATTTGATACTTTTACCCAAAAAAGAAAAAATATAATTTGATCTAATACAATGTTTAAATTTTTATTAGGGTAAAAGTAAATTTTTGTCCTTAAAGTATTCTCTAAGAAACATCTAGTATTCTAAGCTATTGGTTGAAGCAATTTTTCCCTTAAAAAAATTAAAACAGATCATTTTTTGCCTTTGCCGTCAAGTTTCTAACGTTAATTGTTAGAAAATGCTAATTGGGATTCCAATGTTGACTGTTAGTAAATTTGATGGTAAGGGCAAAAATGTTCCAATTAATAATTTAAGGTGTTGAGTGCTTTTCAAAGAATACTTTAAGAGACACATTTGTTAAAGAATAAACCTCCAATCCATGCTTGATTCAATCAATTCGAGCTTGAATAAAGGACAAGATATCAAGCATTAAGCTTAGATGTTTTCAGAGTTTGCCAAGCTTGAATGGTGCTAAATGAATGGTAGTCATACCATATGAATTTAAAATTACAACTCCTATTAATTCTATTTAAGTCAATGAGTTTAAACCTATTGTCCTACAAGTCAGAAAATCACTCCTCAAAGCAAACCTTAACTTGAAAAACATCTCAAAAGAGGAAGAGGAAGGAAGGAGGAAGCTTAAGAGACTTACCCTTAGTATTAGATAGCTTCAAAATGCTCCTAAACCTATGAAACTCCAAGCCCTAGCATATCTCAACTTGTTCTCTTTAATGTGTGTTTCCTTCACTCCTTTCTTATATATATATATATATATATATATTGAATTGATGCAGCCCTTATTTCTACTGAATTTCGACCATGTGCCGCTATGCACGCATCACAAAAAATAGTACAAAGAGCATCCCTTCACGTTTATTTGATTCATGTGCTGTGGCAAAAGTTGCACAAGTTGTAACACATGGTACAAAGGTCATCCTTCCATGTTCCTTCCTCCTTTAAGGCCCAAGTAGCCCAACTCCACTCCGAACCTAATCATATGGCTACAACCCCAACCTAATAGGCTCATTAACCCTCTCTAACCATCCTTTAGCTACAAACCACCTAAATTTACTTAACTTACCCTCATTTGGCTTAATTAGTTAGGAATTAAATGTTTAGGATGTTATACAGCTAAAGACTACCTCATTCAAATTTGGATCATGGACTCTTTTGCTAAACAAATTCCTACAAGGTATTATATAATTAGCTAGTATAATATACTCACTCCTAGAGGGGTATCATTTGTTGAGCTAGAACCATACCTCAGTCCCATTAGAGTTAGTGCCATAACTAAGCAACATTAGGTGCTACCCATGTATTGTCCATGCCTCGTGGAGTTATATGCATACTCTCCAATCTTAAGGTGAACTCTTAGTCATTCCATGTCATATTGATAATATAATTATGATCATGCTCATTTCATATTCATATCATGTTCACTACATGCACATTTATCACAATATCCACACCTATATAATGAAACTATATTTCCCACATTCATAACATCATCAATAACTTTCAACACTTACAACATAGTCACATAATTCATTATTATACTTATATAATTTCCAAAATATCATTTATAATCATCTTATTGATGCATGCATATTCCATCATTCAAAATTACAGTAAATGATTACATCAAAATATGAGGGAATTTAGGTTTTTTGTTAACTCCACCCCTTGAATAAATTAAAAGGCCACCCAAACTACTCCTCAACATGAGCTTCCGACATGCACAAACAAGCTAAGTTATTAATCTATAATTAATATTAATCAACATACCAATATTTAACCATAGGCATCTACTTGTAGCCTCTTATAGTGCCTGAAATTCATTTTATTACTATTTTGATTTCCATTAGCCAAAATAGCTTCATTGGACTCCTAAGAGTCTCACCAAACCCATGATTCTAAGTCTAGCATTTGCTTTAGAATCAC